GACAGGGTTTCACCATGTTGACCAGGATGGTCTCGGTCTCTTGACCTCGTGATCCACCCGCCTCAGCCTCCCAAAGTGCTGGGATTACAGGCGTGAGCCACCGCGCCCGGCCCCAAGCTTTAATTTTCTGACCAAGCTTTGTCTCTCTCCTTTTACTCATTTTGTCTCCATTTTTCTCTTTTCTCTCCTGAATGCAATTTGATTTCTAAAACCAGAGAATAGGGTTTCCAGACTCAGGTCTTATGGGACCAAATGCAAAAGCAGCTTCATATAATTAGATTAGATCTCATGAAAGCGTGGATTGGCAGTGTGTGTATATACACATCTGCTCACAAGCTGTCTTGCTCTGGTGTCTGAAGGCTAGCTGTTCCATACTACAGTAAAGAGCAGAGGCACTCAATTATATGTAAAGCCCCAGGGTCACAAATAACTGCAGCTCCAGCTTCCTGCTGCAAACATTTGGTACCTCTGGCAGGTCACACCAGCTGACTTTGTTTTCCGTGGAGGTACATGTTGAAAACACATCTTGAGCCCAAGCCATTTATGACTTTTGCACCTTGAGTCACATTTGGAAGAAAACAGGCAGCCAGAGCAGCTCAGAGCACAGTGCACTTACTCCCTGTGGTTCAAACCACTTAGTGGTTGAACCGATGAACTCTGTACTTGTGGAACCTTGGAGGGTTGCCTAGAGTGAGCTCTAGACCTGCGTGTGGTAATAATCCAGTAGAGAGTTCCATATCCATGGCTCGGGAAGTCAGGGGTGAAAATCATAGAAAAGCTCTCAGGGATTATCAGGGAAAGGTGAAACGTTTTGAGACTTTTTTGTTTTTTTCTTTTAATAATGTTGAAACCTATCCTAAAATCAGTTAAAACAGTATCTCCATGGGTTTCAAAGTTTGCCGCCTTTTTACATTTGTGACTTTTCAGATCCTCTGATTCTTATTTTGGTAGCTTCTCCTAGAGTTGTCTCTTTCTCTTGACTCCTACTTCTTCTCCTTACATTTATTTCAGGTTACATTAAGAGCATACCACCTGATCTCCCTGCCTCCTCCTCAAGTCCAGATACCTCCCCTGGCCTTAGGGGACTTCCATAGTTCAGTTCTCTTTTTCACCCTTAAACTTTGAAATGTGTTTCCTAGCGATCACCTGACGGCTCTGGTTTATGAATCTAAGATGTTTTCTTCTAACCCCACCTTCTTTTTTCTTATTCTCTGTGAGTCAAATCAGATGGGACACAAAGCACCATTAGATTATAGTGATTCATATTATGCTGTGAATATGCAAGGGGCTAACCTACATGGATCTATAAATAGAAAGTATTGATGAAGTATGTTAGGTGCCGGTACCTACAGGTTGAACACAGCCTCCTTCAAGGTACCACTTCTGGTGAACAGGACAGAAGAAGAGAGGTCAGGTATTTGAAACTCTTTCCGTGAACAGTAACCAGCCCCTGTTGCATATTTATTTCATTGTATGGTTACATTTGATGTCTCAGTCTTTCTAGATTAACAGATGTTTAGAGTATATTTGCTACTCATTTTCTTTCTTTACGGAATTTGCATTCTAGTACTTTGGGGCCTTGTCTCAGGTCACTGAGCTAGTAACTTTCAGAGCTGGGAATTTTGGCTCCCAAGGCCTTTGTCATTTGCTGTGCTACAGGTCATGGTGATGCCAGTGCGAGGCGGGTGCTCAAGCGGCACATGCTTGGTCTGCACACTCTCTTTTTGTTATTGTTGTTGTTTATTTGTACTTTTTTTCAAGGATTCACATGCTTTTTGTGTTTGTGGGGGGCAGCAGGTACTGATCAAGAAGCTCTTAAAAATTAAAATACACCACAAGAGATAGCCTTTTACCCTCAAGATTACATTTATGTAGGCAAGTACAGTATTCAGTATATCTGGTAAATTAGAATGCATGTTCACAGAGTGTAATTGGAAGCTTATTATATATAAAGGTATATTCTAACAGATATCCAAGTGTAACTTAAACTAAAAAAGTCAATATTTGAGCCATGTTCTACATCTTACTGTCAGTGTTAATTGTATACTCTGTTATGATGACCTTAAAACAGTTTGTCGGTAATTATGAGAATTGAGACCACGTTCATAAGGATTAGCAGCTGTGCTGTTCACAGATCTAAATGTATTACTCCTTTCCGGTCGGGGGCAGCATCTTGTTTCCCAGCTGTTAGTGAAGTGCACACACACAGGAGTCCAGAGAAAGAAGGGACTGAGATTTTAATAGTGATTCTTCCATTTAAATGTGCCCTGTGGGAGTTCTGTTTGGTTTTTGGTTTTCCAGCAAGTACTGATGGGATCAGTAAATCAATTTTCCATATACTTGACAGCATATGTTTAAAGTAGTATGTGGGGAGGTGCTTTTTCCACACCAGCCACTCTGTGGATGACTAATTCTGTTTTATAAACCACAGCAGTGTCATTGTTTTCAAACGTTAATGACTTGTCTTATTATTTCTTTGATTTAGTTCTTAAATGTTAGAAAGTAGTAGCATTCAATTCAGGAAATGTTTAATTAGTGTTACATAAGCTGGAGTTCTTAGTGTGTATATTAATCATTTTGCGTCGTGCACAAGTACAGGGATAATCCAAACTGGAAAAGCAATTTTGAAATATCTACTGATCATCTTTGGTCCATGATTGCTGTCCACATGAATGTCCACAGATAGGTAGGTGTCAGGTAGCAGGAGCCCCAGAGGATTTACCAAGAGATCCCTGACTGACTCTTGACTTTGGGCAAATCATTTGAGTATTTTGTCAGTCACCTCCCAGGTCAAATGGCGCTTCATGAAGTCTACCATTTTTTTTTTTTTTTTTTTTTTGACCTGCATTCCTAAGTGATCCAGCTTGGAGAAGACCAGTTAAGTTTTTGCAGTTAGGTTTCTAACCTTTTCTCTGTGCAGTTAGGTTTCTAACCTTTTCTCATATTCACAGAATGCATTTGAATCTTCTAAAATGTATATACGTACTAGTGTTATAAAAGAGAAGCCTGCATGAGATGGTGATGATGAGGATGAACACTTCCATAGCACCCCTCATGCCAGACTCTGTTTTAAGCACTTGTCTGCAGTGAGCCTTCAACTGTGGTGGGGATTAACCATATCCCTGACAAATGCTCCCCTCTTGCCATTGCTGGCATTTGGTTGTGGTTTGTGATCCTTGACCCCTTTGCATCTAGTGAGTCCCGTGGAGTAAACCAAGCCTTCTTCTACTTTTTAGGTATTATTTATCACTGTGATCTTACCAAAGAGGAACTGGAGCCAAGAGTTTTCCGAGAGGTGACTGTAAAAGGAATCGATGCATCTGATTACCAGACAGTCCAGGTATGGAGAATATGATCTCGTTAATGTCAGAGTTAGGGCATCTGACTTTCAGGCTGGACCATTTACACTGCAGCCTATCGGAAGCAGTGGAAGTCATTCATGGTAATACAGACAACAAGTATTTGGAGGCCACACTGTTGATGGGCATTGAGCCAGGCACTCAGGATTCAGCGGTGAGCCGGTGTAGTCCCTTCCCTCCCATAGCCTGCAGGTTCTGCTCCCATGACTGCTACTCTTGACAGGAAGCCAGAGGTTCTTTGTCTTGAGGCTCCTATTGCAACATTTCTGTCTGTGTCAGTCTGCTTACTTGAAAATTGGTTGTGTTCTAGCTCAGGTCTTTTGGTGTTATAAATAACATGGAGATTTGCTCCATGTAAAGTATTGCCTTAAGTGCTGTGAGTCAGTGTTTTTAGTCTGACGTTCATGTGCATTTCTGCATGGCACAGAGTAGACACTCAATAAAAATAAATTAATTAATTGTCATGACACCACAGGTTTCATTTTTGGCCCCCATCTTTTCAGGTTAAGAATCTCCTTTTTTGTTTTTTCAGCTCCCCAAGGGTACTGAGTCTTTCAACAACTGAATCACTGGTTGATGATGATGAGGAATGTCTCTATTCATTTGCAATGAGAGGTCACCAAGTAGGGCACCAGGTGTTTATCAAGGCCCTCCCACCTGGAGGGCTGGACCACACAGGCCACAGATTAGGAATCAGAGCATTGTTTGTGAAGGAAGATTAGAACAAAGAGCACTGGATGTTCCCCACAATGTTTCTGTAAAACTAGGGCATTATTATAGCTTGGTGAATTACCCTTCAATTGTCTAGAAATGGTCTAGATGATATGCTACATCTAGATCATGAATAAAGCTTTGTTTACAGAAACAGGTGGTGGGCTGGATTTGGTGTAGGCCTGTGATTTATCAGCCCCTGTTCTATATCAGCAGTTGGCAAACTGGCCTCCTGTTTTATTGGAGAACACATGCCCATTTGTTTACATATTGCCTGTGGTTGCTTTGGCACTTGAAGTGGTTGCAACAGAAACTCTATGGCCCAGAAGGCCTAAAATATTTAATATGTAGCCTTTAAAAGAAAGTTTGCAGAAGCTTCATCTACGTAAATAGCATTTAAAAGCACAACATTCTTGATAGACTTACAGGGCCTTTGTCAAGAAGCCCCGTCAGACAGGCCTGAAACCTACCTTTGGCAAGTCATTTAACCTTTCTGAAATTTTTTCAACCATAAAGTAGAGATTGATTGTATCTATTTTTTAGGATTCCTGTGGGATGATTAGGAGATAAAGTATATTAAAGATCTGGCAATAGAATATAATCTATTTTTTTTCAATCAACATTAGAAATTAACAGACTTTTAGTTTTCTGTATTTATTTGGCTTACTTCTTGTTAGTTTCGTTTTTGCTGTGAGGCATTGCCTGTAGAGAGATCCTGCAGGGGCCTGCAGCCCCTGTCTGGTGTTTTCCTGGTTCATAAATTCACCCTCATCCTGTATCAGTCTTTTAACATCTGTTCACTTTTAATCTGGCATTCTTTGCCAGATTAAAAGTGAACAGATGGCATTCTTTTCCCTTTTCTCTAATTTGTAGAAAATATGTCCCTATCAGCTATGACATTTGGCCTCTCAGGGCCTAGTTCTGGTCCTTGCCTGGGTTTCCTCAGCAAGGATAGGTGTGCCTCTCTGATTAGGAATGCCAGGGACACCCAGGCAGCACCCAGCAAGTGTTCTTTCCTCTGCTGTCAAGAGCAAAGTCTCAGCTTCCCTAGGTAGGACGGGGCAGGTTTGCCTTTTTCTCCTCCCACAAATATTTAGTACCCAAGTGTAGAATGGCCTTTGGAGTTTGGGGGAAAGGAAGGACCCCTATAATAATGACAGCTGCCGGGGAGGCCGCTTCTTCCAGGGAAATGCCTCTTACTACTTATTATGATTGTTGTGTTTCCCCATTAGATGTCTGGGGTTTTTTTTCTATTCTGATAATGGTAATACTCTTTACAGATGACACACTAGTTACCACCTAATAGGTATTGTTTTCATTTACAAATGAAAAGATAAAACATTACGGCCAAGCAGGTACTTCTGAGGAATGCAGACCTACCAGCCACGGACATAGCAGCCTGAAATGTCCAGGTTAGGCTGAGGAGAACACGTGCTTAGGCGCTGCCAGGTGCCTGTGTCACTGGAAAACTCCCAGAATTTCCCTGGACCTGGTTCTCCATTTCTCAAAGAAAACTTCTGGCATTGAGCCTCTTACTTACAATTTTTTATTTGTACTGCTGTAATAAGAGGAATGAAAAGATTCATGGTAAATATTTAAACAGTAACTGGACAACAAATCTGAATGCATTGCGCTTCATTTCCATATTTAGAAAATGTAATTTTGCCCATAAACAGTGTGTAGCCCCTGTGTATAATGCCAATAGAAGACATTTTATCTACTGATTATATACCTTATACATGTCGTACTATTATTAAAATAGAATTCTTTCATTGTGTAAAAGGTGCCTTTGAGACACAGTATGATGTCACAACACCATTGACTTGTATGGCTTAAAATCTGTTTTGCAGTGGTTTAGATTCAAGTGTATGTATGCAACAGAGCTTTGACATGCAATGAGAGCATGACAGATGTTCTCACATTTTGATAGGCTCTTGGCAGCATTGCCAACAATGACCTACCATGGTAAAAAGCAGACCCCAGAGAGGTATTTGTGGATGAATGGAAAGCATCTAAACGGTGTGTAGTAGCAACCACATTTTTGTTTCTGTTATATTTTATTTTCATTTTCCATCACTTTAGGATAATGTTACATTTGATTCCACTTGACCCTGGGGTTTATATTTACTCCATAGGTGACTTAAAAAAGAGTATCTCCCAGGCTGTCTGTCATTCCTTTGTTCATTCTGTGAGGCATATTATTATTTGGATGTGAATACTGCAGCACAGATGACTCTGCATGGTTGGTCAACATTAATTAATGGTGGTTATGACCAAGAACCTCTTTTAATGGTACTGCCTACCTGGTGTTGTAGCTGATAAAATAGACCAGCCAAGGAGAAGGAGAAGGGCTGAAGAAACATACGGCTAAATGAGCCACAGAGTGCTCCTCTTTGTGTGATCTGTTAACATATTCTCTCAAGACCCTGAGCATCTCAGCTGGGAAGGTGAAGGGTCTGGTGTCATATTTTACAGACACAGAACAGAGCTGCTGTCTGTATAGCCTTTATCCATTCCTGATTATAGCTGTGGGTAGAAAATTGATTTGTACCAGAAATACGGTTTTGAAAATCTGATCCTAGAAACACTGCCAGTTTCTCTTCTGATCTGGAACACAGTAAGAATTCAGTTTTAGATAGGTTTATCAAATTTGTAGTTGATTAAGTTTTATCTTGCTTTTTATTGTGAATGACACAACCACATAATATTGATTAGAACCTGTGCATCATTGTCTTTTAAAAAGTAGTTGAAATATTGAACATAGAAATTATATTTTTAAAACAGATTTGGTGGTAAGTGAATTTACCTGAAAAATCTGTCTACATTTACAATCAGCAAAACGTTCCATTTTAAACAAAATGAAGTAATAGGGAAATGGTAGTTAAATGTAGCCTATCAGTAATATTTATATCATGATATTCAATGCCAGGTACTGTTTGAATTCAGGGAAAGTCCAGAGATAAGCACTGCCCTGGGAAATTTAGTCTGACTGGAAAGCTGAAACAGAGAGATCTGAAAAGATGGAAGAACCCAAGGATGTTACCAGAGTGGTCAGGGGAAAGGCATAGGCTTCAGTCAGTGCTGTGGTGTCAGAGGCCATCCCAGCTGGGGTAAAGTAGGAAGCCTTCACAGGAGGGATGGAAGTTGGGCAGGGCTTTGAGGCAATGGGTGTTTTTATAATTCCCAATTCACCACTGAGATTCCTGAACAGTTTTACTGCCGCCTTTTGTTCAAAGACTGCTTCTGCCTTTTTTGTTACAGTAAATTCAAGAAAATAATCATCCTACCCTCAGTACCCTGTGCGATGGTTGCCTGTGGCACCTGTCTGTGGATGGAATAGTGTACTGTGGTTGAACGGGGTGTCACAAAGGAATGTAATGTAGCAGAAATACACTTTGATTCCTCAGTTTCATCTTTGTTCAGCCAGCTAGAGATTGACTTTTCTTCTTTCAAAATGAGACAAAATGTATAGACCTGAAAAGAACAGTTAACTGAGCATAAACCCCAAATCAACTCCATTAACAAATGTCTACATTTATAAGAGAAAATTAAGAGAATCCAAGTACTCCCATTTTAAGGAGGGGAGCAAACTTAATATAAGGGAAAAATAGTAAAGATTTTATAAGTAGTTAACATTGATTTTATTATCTTTACTCTTGTTCTCTTATACTTGATAGGAATTTGGCTTTTCTGGGGATTACCTGCTATAGTGCATATGAAACATCAATAATATCCCTAAGGCGGTTTGCTTTGCAGCTGAGCCAAAATGCTAAAGTAAGAAGATTTTTGCTTTTTTGAGACAGTCTCACTCTGTCGCCAGGCTGGAGTGCAGGGATGCCATCTCGGCTCACTGAAACCTCTGCCTCCCTGGTTCCAGCAATTCTCCTGCCTTAGCCTCCTGAGTAGCTGGGATTGCAGGCACATGACACCATGCCAAGCTAATTTTTTTGTATTTTTTTTTTTTTTTTTTTAGTAGAGACAGGGTTTCACTATGTTGGCCAGGATGGTCTCAATCTCTTGACCTCATGATCCACCTACCTCAGCCTCCCAAAGTGCTAGGATTACAGGCGTGAGCCACCCCGCCTGGCTAAAGTAAGAAGATTCTTTGGGTTTACCAACATGCCTTGGGGTGGAGGGAGTGGGATATTTTTTTTCCCTTTAATTCAGATTTTTCTAATCTTAGTGATAGCTGATTTGTGGTTGCTAGCATATCGGCTTTGCCATTTAAAGCATATATATATATATATATATATATATATATATATATAAA